AATCACACGGGTTCTTCAGAACAGATGGAGCGCCAGCGAGATCGCTGAATCTCATGGCCTGAGACGAGAGGACTTCCTAGCGAGTTCGCTTCTCGTTCCCCGAGATCGAGCATGTCAGAAGACGACAACGTATAAGAAGCTTTCCAGGGAAAGCCAACGACTACAAGACGGCAATTTTTCCCAGAGGGGTAGTCCTAGACTTAGTAGTTAAGTACGAAAATCTCGTACCTAGGACCTATGCAGAAGAAGCTAGTGAATGGTACCATGGGTGATGATGCATCTGCTTGGCGAGACTCGCACAGGAGACTAACCATCAGCCAACACTACACCTGGAAGGGTTGTGCGCAGGACTGTGCAGGTCAGTATGTCAGCGTTGCCAACAAGTGCCAGATGAACAAACCAAGAACGCGTAAGCTGGGATTTATTCCTCCAAGACTTGCGAGAGAGATCCTTGGGAAAGACTATGTATTACTGATAGGCCCTTACACAAGTCGGGGATCCATAAGAAAAAGAATTCTGGCACACTTCATTGCCTAACAATGATGATCCACGTAACGATGGTTCGAGGAATTGCAGAGATACTCTCCAAGGCATCAGACGAATGCCATCGTTCTAGAACAAACGTGCTTACTCGGTATCCATGGCCTGCTGGGTTTATCATGGATAGAGGACGCGAGTTCGCGCAGAGGTCGAAAAGACACTCCGGGATGAATATGGACTTCGTCGCAAGTTTCATCACCACGCGTAACCCTCAAGCCAACTCTATGGTCGAGCGTGCTCATCAAACCATACGCAATTGATCGCTGTTTCAAAACATCAAAGTGCCAACGACTCGTGAATGGATCCTGGGATGGAGTTCCCACGGCGGTTCGCTTTGCAATGAATGCCACAGATCATACCACCTTGCGCGCAAGCCCGCACAGCTCGGTTCAATCGTGACGATTACAACGTCCGGTCGAAGCAACTGGAAGTAATATAAGGAACGTCGCAACGAATATCCAACAAAAACAACGAAAGGGAAAACGCAACGCGTGTCCTAATCAATACAAGTAACGATACTGTGTGATTCAAAGTATAAGCCCGCAAGTACGGTCAGCCAAATACAAAGGTCCTTACACAAAGACCGAGTCAATGACAATTGCACTGTACGGCTCCGACTGTACCGCAAGGCGGCACAGTCTACCATACTTGGAACTAAGGTATTACACCATAACAGGCCTGATCCCCTTGTAGGTTTGCATCGTGGAAACATGTCTACATCCAAATTCATGAGAGTGCCCGCACTTTAAATCATATGTTTTCCTTTTCCGACTGCTGTCGCGCCTTCTGTGACCCTTGTCAGGGGGCGAATGCAAATACGGCTCTTAGCCTTATTCGCGACTCGATACTAGATAGGGTTTGAGTTACTCATGACGAGTCTCTCGTGAATAGTCACTTTGAGACAGGGTTCTCAATGACCGCGCTAGTCAACTAGGTTTGATGAAACATCGCTCTAATTTAGCCAGCGTGGAGTACTTCCACGCTACTAGATCCAGGCTAGACAAACCTTCCACGCGTTCCGTTTTAGGATCGTGGAGAGACGTAGGTTACTACCAACCTACTCTATCACACTTTATAGTCTCCCGCGGGAAGCCAGATCTACGATCCTTTGATGATGATCTCTCTCGTTGATTAGTTTTCATAGCTTTCTAATCTCTCTTATAACTTTCATTCTCTCAAACTCAAAACACTCGAAAGATCTTTACACTAGCTTTTAGCGTAGTGCAATAGGAGCAGACGATGTGACCGGTGTGGGTGGAGAAGGGCAGACAATAATGACTGCTGCGTAACCTTCTCCATAGCCACTACTATCTGAAGTGCTGAAGTCTGTAACAGAGGAACTGAGTGTACTTCGAAGCTGTGCAAAGTTCATCATAAAGAGACAAAGTTTGGGCTGGCATTGCTTCAATGTGGACCTGGCTATCGCGGTGCTGTTGGGCTTGAATCTCATGGAGCTTGCTTTGGTGCTTAAGAAACTGCAGGTGTTGTGTAACCAGTTGGGACTGATATTGGCGGCGCTGTGTCTCAATCTGGGACTGGTGGTGTTGTTGCTGCTGGACTAGTTCAGCTTCCAAGGAACAGATGTGCTGGGACTGGGACTGGTTATGTTGCTGCTGGTGGTTCAGCCCAGCTTCCAAGGAACAGACGTGCTGGGACTGAGTCTCAATGGTTGCTTTAAGGCGGTCAATCTCGGCCATTGCCAGTGTCAGAACATCTGGATACAAGGGACTGGAAGGACATGTTGGGGATGGCGGAGGGCATGCGTGATGCAGGTGGGCCACATAGGGAGGAGAGGAAGGTTGAATAGATGTTGGAGAGAGGGAGGCTAGAGTAGGAGGTGGCCCTGGAGTGATCCTGCTGTATCAACACTCTTCCTGGAGCACGAGAGATAAACCAGTAGGGATCGGAAGGGCACTGACTATCGGCTCTGAATACTAGGCTGTCACAGGATAGTGCACTCGGGTGTCCTGGGTAGAATTCCATATTTTGTGTGTCATCGCGACCATGGTGCCACTGCTGAACAGGCCCTTATTAAGCGGGAGACGCAGAAGATGCAACGCACCCACCAACACTTCACCCCCTTTGTTGTTTCTGCTGATGGCCTCTTTGCTGCCGAAGCTACTGCCGTTCTGCAACGGCTTTCCCAGCTTTTGGCTCACAAGTGGTCCAAGCCCTACTCTGTGGTCCGTTCTTTCATCTCTGCCAGGTTGAGCATACTGCTCTCCCGGGCAGCTATACCATATGCTTACGAGGCTCCCGTATTCTAGCTAAAAAGCTTTCCCAGCGTTGGGATGACTGTGGTGCCCTCTATCTCTTCCGCTAATCTTCCCCCTTGAATCTTCTTGCCCCGCACCATGCCTTGCCTCCCTCTTTGGTTTTGCTGCTGCTCTGCTCGCTCGTTCAATTGCTCAGCCCGCGTTTGTGCATTCTGCTGTCTCCCCTGGTATACACCCCCCCTCCCATAGTTCTCTCTAAGCCATAGTATCTATCTCAATCTTTAACGATGTATCCTACCGTCCGGCGCGCATCGGCAAACAACACGAAAACTCGAGTGAAAATGGCGCTGCATGACCTCTTTGTTGACACTGTTAACTCCCTTTCGACAGCTTGACTTTGCTGTGAGCCCTTTCTATAAGTCTATCGGTGGCATCGCCGCTTATCCTGCCACCTTTGGAGCGCCAGAGGCTTAGAGATAACAGGGTGGAAAAGAATCAGCGATACGGCTGTTTAAGCCTTCCTGAGCACCTATGAGTGGCAGGTTAATTAAGTCTCTTCACCTTCTTTACTATTTTCCCAACAAGTTTGTTTATGGTTGCTATCGCCGAAAAGACCCAGAAGAGGTGCAAGAAGCACCATCTTGATAGGCAAGGGGGTTTTAGAGTAGGGAAATTATCTACGGAAGCCAGCCGGGGCCAGGCTTAAGCAAAGAACAGTCGAAATTCAGGACTAGGTTCTGTGGGATCAGGGGCAAGAAATTGAGGACCATTACGGGGGGCAAAGGGTTTGGCTTTGCGGGATCCACGGAGACATAAATGGGTAGCTTTCACAAGGGCAATTGAGATACGGGTCTGCATGAAAGAACATCATTTGAGAGTAGGAAAATTGAGTTTTGGAGGCAGTAGCAGAAGCAAGGCGTTGTAAGAGAGTCTTGGCTTGAGGGGCAAGCATGCCATCCACTGAAACAACAAAGGGTGGAAGGAAGCGCGATTGGACTCGCAGCGATCTTTATATTTGGAAATTTTGTCGCGTTCTTGTTGGGTTAAACTTTGACGGATCTTTGTTTGCGGTAAGAGGCACAGTCCAAATCAGTGACACGTACGTCAATAATAGCAGTATACCACGTTCGAACAAGCCGTCGAATGGAAAGATCACCACGTAAGAGCTCGGGGGATGGCGGGGGATTGAGAGGGGGGGAGGAAGGGGAGGTAAGGTAGAAATTGGGTGACCGGCAGGGAAGTAGGGGCGGGAACAGATGGAAGGGGTGGTTCGGATTGGACGCTAGAGGAACCAAAGCATTCACATGACAATAGAACCAAGTTCATTGCGAATTTCATATATGGGAACGGGAGATTATAAGCACCGACGGTTTGCAATCCAGAGCATTGGAACGCTGAAGGGACATACAGCCATCACAAAGAGATGGAAGAGCTGGGGGGTAAGACCGAACCGGAGAAAGAGAGCATCACGCCATTCTTGAGCAGAGAGAGGTGAGTGCGTTTGGCAATATCGGGCATGACTGCAAGCCAGGAGCCAGTGCAAAGACTGCGATTGAGGCGGGACTGCTCAGCCGGAGTGAGAGTGGCTTGATGGGTCTCGAAAGCCGCTTTGTAGGCATCTTGATGACGTTTTTTGGCACTGATACGACCTTCTGTGAGGGCTGTGCGATGGTCTTCAATTTTGAAGGGATGACGTGGGGGCTCAAGGAAGGGGGTGGCAGGGTACGTGGAGGGGGCTAGGGGGATGGGAATTAGGGGCAAGGGGGCAAGAAGGGATCGGGTAATTTTCGCTGAAGTATTTCGCGTGAGACCTGGCAATTCAGCGGAGGGGGCTTTCCGTTAATTTGGGAGGGGAGAGAAAGGTCCAGCAAAACTGTGTATGGGAAGGAGAAGTCGAGAGCTCGGGGGTTGGGAGTTCGCTTGGAATGAAGGTCCAGAGAGGCGATTTTGCTCGATTTTTCGTGTTGTTTGCCCATGCGTGCCGGGCTGTGGGATACATCGTTAATGACGGGGCTTTTGTGTGAAAATCTTCGAATCCAATAATCCGTAGTGACTTCCCAAAATGGAGACAATGAACCCAACTACGAGGGCTACTACGAGGGCTACTACGAGTACGAGTATGAGTATGAGTACTGGTACTGGTACTGGTACGAGTACGAGTACTGGTACGAGTGCGAGCAGCACGGGTATGTATGGCCGACGCTGTGAAGGGAAACAAAAGGGACTCCGCAATGCCGCTAAGATAGTTGGGTTCGTTCTTTTCTTGCTGGTGGTTGGTACAGTTGCGTATGTAGTGGCAAAACAAATATCTAGTAAATACCAAGCACCTTCTTCTTACCCAAGCCAAGCCCCAACTCTCAAACCTTTGCCACCACAAGTGCAAGCCTATGCATGGATGCGTGAAGATAGCAGCAATGACCCTGGCAAGAAGACCCCACAAGCACAAGCCTTAGAATGGTTTCTGGAAGATCCATACTTTGAAACATACTCGGATGTCAGAATTCGACAGAGATTGTCCATGGCTACCTTTTATTTTGCTACGGGAGAGTGGCGCCAGCATACCGGTTGGGCCAACTGGACTTTGCATGAATGCGGCTGGTTTTCCAAAAAGGCCACAGGTGCCTGCGATGATATGGACCAGATGATTCACCTGGCACTGTCGGATAACGATTTGGAGGGGACCATCCCACCCGAACTCTTTTGGTTGACCAATCTCCAGACCGTCAATTTGTTTGGCAATCGCATCGACGGGGTCATTCCCTCAGAATTTGGGCTATTGACGGATTTGACATCCATCGATTTGTCTGGAAATTCATTTACAGGGGTGATACCAGGCAGTTTGAGTCAACTGGAAAGCTTGACCGAATTGTATCTCGAGTCCAACCAGTTGACCGGGCATATTCCCGCCTGGTTGGGGTCCATGAGTCTAGAATATTTACGGCTCAAAGGCAACAAGTTTCGAGGAATCATACCGGATGCAGTTTGCCCCATTCAAAGTTTTTCCATTGATTGTACAGCGGAGATTTTTGGGTGTGACTGCTAAACAAAGCTATGTTCAGCCTAAATAGCAATTGTATACCTGTGTACTTACAGATGGTCGTAACCCAAATGCTATATCTAGCTAGGAATGAGTGCGCTATGCACTCCACCCAGTGTCGTCAAGTTGTATGATGGGTTGTTGGAATGGTACGCTGGCAAGTGAAGGCTCAAATGGCTTCAGAGACCCCCTGCTTGCAAGCATTTTCGTCTGAGTTTATTACCAGTATACAGCGCCGGTGCCTCGTGAAACACCGTTTTCTTCTGTTTTTGCCTCCCTTACTGTGAGTTAGTTGACGACTTGAACGGGCGCAGGAGTGAAACTTTTCTCGCGAGTGATTTTCTGCCCGGAATGATGGCCAGCCTCTCTCGATCGATCGAAGCAACCCAAAGCTTCCATCATTTTACTTTCAAGATCCGAGGGAAGGTTGCCAGACCAATGACACCCATTTTTTTTCGATTTCATGCACGTCTCCGGCTCCAGCCGCTCCAGCACAGCTCAAATCGCTGCCAAAACAGGACGGAGGCTTCCTCGGTCGATTCATCCGTGTGGGTTTTGGGACCAGGATCGATAATTCGTCAATCTAGCTATGTAGCTAGCTGGCTGGCTGGTTGCCTAGCTGTGGCCTTCGTGGACGACCCGAGACCTCGGGATTGTTTTGTTTTCATCTTTGACACCACCTCCATGCATGAGTCTTTCTGCCCCTGCCATGGTCGTCTTTCGTTCTTCTTCGAGTTGTCCGGTTGTGCAAGATTGCAAGAAATTCGTTCGTTCTTTGCGTCCAGCCGCTGCCAGCCACGGCAATTGCTCCACGAACCAACCATCATTCATGCTCGAGCGGCCCGACAAACGATATCGTGATATGACGAAGATCATCCATCTCTTATTGTGAGAGGCATCTAGGTAAAACTTGTCCTCGTTCATCCTTCCAAAGTCATTCACTCATTCCGTAGAACATAGCTATATTAGAACAGCGGCGAAAGGCGTGCAATGAGCCGCTTTCGCCGCCATCGTTTTTGGCTTTCTACTAGCTAGTCTAGTACGGTAGGATACAGCTAGGCCAGTTCCTATTTCGTTTCATCCGTAGGATCCAATCCAATAGTCTTGATACCAGTAGCTAGTAAAAGGAAAGATGAAACAATCAATCAATCAATGGTAGAAGCCTGGTACTACTTAGTTTGCCGATGCTCCTGTCAATCGAAACGCGCCTCCGTGACTGACTTAATTGCACGAGCAAAAAGAGAAAAGGATAGTATTTCAGCATGTTGCTTGTCAGAGGCACGCAGACCGAATTCATTCAGACAACCCAGCAGAGGTGTATCGATCCTCCTTGATCATCCACGAAAACTGATGGCGCTTGTCCATGGGACTCTAGCAGCGTACTAGTAGAGAGAGCGTTGCGTCCTGGCAGCAGGGAACGAGATCCCATTCAGTTCGTTGATGCAGGGCACTGCATTGGCATGGCTAGCGGTATGGTACCGGTACGTACTGTACGATGTAGGAGTTCGGAACGTGCCACAACGCAGCATCGCCACCAGTTTCAGCCCGCAGTCTGGATTCGAATGAATCATTCGATTCAATGATTCGAATCCAAGTCTAACGTTATCCTAAAAAACAATGTGTGCGTGGCTTTCTAGACTGTGACGTCACCTTAAAGCCACGTCAGAACCTTTTTTCTGATCAATGTGTCCATATTGTTGCGCAGAAAGACAAATTTGCGGAAAGGACAAAGTACAATTGAGAGAAGTATTTTAAGATACCATTACAAACAAGCTTTAATATGGAGTCGAGTCCTTCATCCGGGCTGGAAGCTGCAGCTGCCGCTGCTATTGGTGGTATTTGTAGTCGGTCAGCCGCACCAGTAGAAGTCACGATGGCCAACAGCTGCAGCAGCCAAGAGCGATTAGGCGACGAAACCATGGACTCATCGTGCACCGGTACCTGTACCGGTGGCTCTGAGGTACACGTCATCGTGCCCAGAACACCCGAAGAACACCAAGCCTTTCTACAAACACAACGGCAAGTTCAAACTATAGAAGAAGAAGAAGAAAAATGTGAAGAACACCAAGATCTCCAGGCAGCAGTTTCTAGTAGTACTACGAGTACAGACCATGAAAGTGCCAAGTCCAAGTCGAACCTTATTCCGCCCAGTAAGCAGCAACCACGAGGCAAGACGCCCGCAAAGCGTGGATTGCGAAAGAATGGCAGCTCCGAGTCGGACTCATCCTCGGCCGAGATGATGGTGGTGGTGCCACTCCCGGCCATGCGTGGACTGAGGAAGAATAGTTATACATGTACTGACAGGAGGATCAGTGATCACAACCATCACCTACCGAGGGAGGAAACTGCAGATGTGAATGCCAATTTGTCCTTTCTGGAGGAACTGGCATCTGGCGTGGAGCCACTTCCCGTGGAACCTGCCGCCCCTGCGTTGCTACGAAATAGCACACACAATTATCGACAGTCCCTTCCAGGTGCATTTGCACAAATGCCAGGTGTGGCTTTTTCACAGCAGCCTAATACTCATACCGGTAGTGCAGAGCACCATGATGATGATGATCATCATCGGAATAGTACCTGCAACACCACCGTGGAAACGGCCTCTGCCACCACCGAAGGATTGGTGCAAGCACGACAAGTCACAGACGATGAACTGGAATCATCCTCACAATTACAACAAGCAAGAGCTGTCACAGCCCGGCAACTCAAGCTACAACAGAAACATAGACAGCAGCAATCTTCTTATTGGCAGAACAAACCAGCATGTGGCATTCTCTCTGTTGTTCTGGCCGGTGTCGTCGTGGCCATTTTGCTGGGGGTAGGTTTGGCTGGTACTAACAAGAATAAGATTGTGACACCAATAACCACTCTTGCCAATCCACAATCCTCCTCCGAGGAGCCATCCCCAGCACCCTCTGCTGCCCCCACTGGAACTCTGGACATACTGTTGGATAGCCTACCAAAGGACACTTTGAACCGTATCAACCAGGGCAGTGAAACACCCCAGTGGAAAGCCTGGCAGTGGCTAGCCAATCACAAAAATATCACCTTCCTTCCAGAATGGAGAAAGACTCAGCTGTTTGCCCTTTCTACCTTCTTTTATGCCTTTTAGGGTGAGAACTGGAAGACTGTCATAAAAGAGCGATGGATGGATGATACTATGGATGAATGCTTGTGGTTCTCCAGTGGATTTGGATACTTCGATGATAAAGATGAACAGTACATCGAGTGGCCTCCAGGAATACAAGTCGATCCATGCAATGACTTGGGAAAGTTTACAAGCTTGGAATTGTTCAATCTGCAGCTCTCAGGGTTGTCACCCTCCATGCCACCCGAAATGGTGCTGTTGACCGATTTGCGCTTTGTATCAGCACCACAAAGTCACCTTCACGTGCCCCTGGAGGATTTGATTCCAATGGAATTCTCTCAATTGGAATACCTCGACTTTTTAGCTTTTCTTGGAAACGATATTGTGGGAACCATCCCCAGTCACCTGGGCTTGTTTCCCGTTTTGGCAGATCTTCGCCTTCACAACAACCCACATCTCTCAGGTTCATTGCCAACAGAGCTCGGAATGCTGACAAGAATGATGCAGCTGGACTTGTCCAATCTACCGTTGCTCACCGGAACCATCCCATCAGAACTAGCGCTCTTGACGGCAAACTTGAGCTACCTGAATTTCACAGGCAGCCATGGATTGTCAGGGCCCATCTCCAGTGAGCTCTGTTCTTTGCTAAACAAGAACTGCAGCTACAAACCACTACCCTGGGATCCCGGGTATGAGCTGCCATGTGCACTCGAGTTTGATTGCAGACCAACAGAAGGCCTCTGTGGCTGTGACTGCCCCTGTTCCGACAATACGCTCTAGCTACAACAGTCAACGCACTGTGCAACCGCATTGTAAAGAACGGCCTGGCGTAGATTCAGAATGGTAGCTGACTATTTTTATAAGAACACAAACAAACACAGTAGGAGGCTAAAGCCCTCCAACCAGCTGTGTGATTCTTCACTGTATACCGTGCCCCCCGCCATGGTCATCGTTTCATTTTCGAGTGTAGTATCGTACATGCATGCAGTTGCCCGAGAAATTCGTGCGTTCGTTCCTTCCGTTAGTTGCCTCCACCTTAAATTCGCAAGCCATGGCAATCCACGATCGAGCCAACCACCATGAACGGTTTGAGGTGCCGCCATCTAGCTAGATAACGATTGTCGTCGTGGTTCATCGCCTCCAAGCGAAAAGTGTTCGATGAGCCGATTCCGCCGATGCAGTGCCATCGTATACCATGTGGTGAAGAACTGTAACCAGGCGGTTGAATTTGGTAGAAGTCAGTCGAAGTTAGTGGAAGGTGGTAAACCGTGCACACAGGTGATCTCAAAGAGCAAATAAGACCAGCCAAACCTCAGCTGTGGCTAGCTAGTGAGAATACCGTCGTAGAGGGTGTTGAGTTGTGGTTGGATACGGTAGTACCGCCGTGCACTTCAACTGAAGAGTAGAAGCAGGAAGAAAAAGCAGCAAGAATTCATGCATCGAGCGTCGTTGGCTTCATGCATGGTCGCTCCGTGAAAGAGGAAGAAGACAATCGATCGCCTCGGCCGCCACTAGAACAAGAGGAGCCTGTCATGGTGCTGACATAGTATAACCGCTCCGTCTTACCAGTACAATTAAAAGCCACGATCGCCAATCTGGAAGCTGCGCAACTCGAGTCCATGAATCTTCACAGGAATAAGGCTTCCAAACATTCAAGTTGGTTAATCCAGTGCACTGGCGAAATCAATGATAACGCCTATAACTACTCGAACTGGTACATCGTATCCCCTGAAGCTCCTTCTGTCGATCGATTCTATGCATTCTCGTATTACGCGAGATCGCGATTTCACGATTCTCTAAAACCCCCTTGAAATTGACTGTCGCTCGATCGAATCGACCAAGCACGTAAATTCCTTTAAAAAAATGTGAGGGCAAAGTTTCACTTTCTGGTCAAAGGCCTTGGACACACTGCCTCGAACGAACCATGAGTGTGGATACTATTATAGCTATAGTACATTGATGATCAAGGACAAACACGCGGAGAGCTTCGATTGCATGGAGTTTGGATATATGCATCCATACCGGTAGGCCCTCCCAGCAGCAGCTTCCACCGAAGGATTGGTGCAAGCACGACAACAAAGCACAAAGGGTGAAAAATGCAATCATCCTCCCAATTGCGACAACAAGCAAGAGCTGTCACAGTCCAGCCCGGCAATAACTCAGGCAACAGAGACAACAAACACAGAAAATGCAGCAATCTTGGCAGAACTTTCTCCTTCGTTGCTTTGGATATGTGCGCGCGTGCAGTCAACTTTCCCAGCTCAAAAGGAACTGGACCAGTAAACTGACTCATGACCTTTATAAGGAAAGCCCTCCCAGTGATTCCTCCTTCTTCCTTTTTTCACTGGGTTGGCCTGGTCATTCCTGGTTGTGCTTGCGCCCCTCTCCCAGCTGTTGCGCTCCACCTCTACCATCCATCCGTCCATAGTCCCTTCTAATCCCATAAGTAAACCGATCTTTCTTCTTCTTACTACCAACCTTTGCTTCCTTCATCCTCTCTGTCCTTACATTATTACGAGCAGCAGATCAGCATAAAGCCAGTATTTTCCGGTCAGAGGGCTCTGTCAAATGCACCCTCCCAAAACTTTGTACATCTTTGTCAGAAAGAAGTCTAGGCTTGCCATTCGACATCGGTACATGTATGTTTTAGCCACGTTGGCTGAACATGACTTGGTTCTTGTGATCCAATACCCACATTCACCACTGCCGTACAAAAGGGAAGGAAGTGTCTAGTAGCTAAAGATGACTGCAGCGCAATAGAACAGTGCATGGTTAGTTCTTTTACCTATAGAATGTAATGTATATTTATGTGGAACCATCATGCAGTAAAATTCGTGACATCAAAAGATCCATCTGCTCCAATAAAAATGTCAACGATGATTTCAGAAAAGGCCTCACCAGCTTCCAAAGAATACAACACGGTTTGGTCCGTGGCTGTTCTTACAGTAATCCAACCATAGGGTATGCCATCACCAAAAAAGTCTGACACCACCAGTCGGTAGCTGTTGTTGGGGCTGACTGGGAAGAGAGAGGAGTAAACATAA